AAATCTGCCTTGTCAGTCATGTATTGAAAGATACATGATCACCTAAGCGTGTATCATACATAGCATATAACTGACTGACATATTTGTAAATAATGAAAGTGCTTTTGAGCACAATTAGTTTATAGGAAAGAGTAGGTTAAGGTGGGTTAAAACTGGATAACAAGTGACGGCAAATTTGACCTCAAAATCCGAAGGTGCATTGGAATATCGAAAGTTGCCTTTCAAAAGCTAATGAAAAAGAAACGTGAAGATGTCGTTGGAAACAAAGAGTGCTGAAGAATTAAACTACTTATATGGCATCGAATGCTGGACAGTTTCCGTATTAATGTAAAGAAGACCTGTGACAACAGAGACGTGATTCTACAGAAGGATGCTGAGAATGACATGGACAGAGTATGTGTGCAAAGGGGAAGTTTTCAGGAAAATGGGAAGACAAATGACACTTGAGATCGGAAGGAGGCAGCTGAAATTTATGGGACACATTATGAAGAAAGAATTTGACGCTAGCAGAACATTATGAAGGCAACAGAGGTAGATGGAAACATCAAGTTCCTTACTTAACGATCTTGCCTATAAGAATGGCAGAAGTGGAAGCGGGTTAGGAAGTGAACAAGCATTACTACTAAGGACATGGTTTTAAAAAAATATTACATAAATGAATATTTCACTAAGAATTGTGTGTTTTAGATGATTGTTGACATTAGAAATGAATCTACATAATGTGTGGAGATTAATTTCAATTAGAAACAATATAAATTCTTTCAACGCATTTACTATACTTGCATTTTCTTTAGATTCAATGGACATTGATGCTAGACAATTATGTAGCTGTTAGAAACTGCTTTTACCCTTTTTTTTCATTGTGCTTGTCCAGTTCCCCTGGAAATGGTTAAATATGTGTGCTTGTTTATAATCAAAGTTAATTAGCACAAGATAGTTAGATACACTCAATACAGCCTGAGCATCATAGTAACTTCCATTGAAAATAGCAATTTATTTATTTATTTTTATCTATAGATAATAAAATTTTGATACCATGAAAACTAAGCTCAATCCTTTGACCTCTGACCACCGCTTTTACTGGTGGTTTCTGTCAACATGCATGTATATATGTGTATATTCCCTCTCCATACATACACACTGTTTCACATCTAATAATTGCTGGCTTCTTGACTCTTGATGATGAGTTTAAGGTGGGAGAATAGTTTACTTAGACTTTAACATTACTGGCAGTAGGCAAAGTGTGTGTATTTACAACATATTTTGAAGTTTTTGTAATCTTAATTGTATTATTATTGGCATTATTTTTTTTTAACCAGATATATCATAGCAAAATGCCTCTACCATATAACACGAAAATATATATATATATATATATATATATGTATGTTTCTGAGATGAGGTATTATGTACACTATTTACATGGATCGGACTATCATCCTCATCATCTTTGTTGCCATATTTATCACAATGTTTTGGGTGTTGTACACTCCTGCCTTCTTCAGGTGGTTGGAATATCGAACTGAAGAAGGCTGGAGCATACAACAGCCAAAACGTTGTGATAAATATGGCAACAAAGATGATGAGGATGATAGTCTGAGTAATGTAAATAAAATATATATATATATATATGTGTGTGTGTGTTATCTGGCGGCTCGGCTTCAGTCATTTTCCAACTGCCGTAATGTTACCTCACTGTGTCTTTTTTTTATAAATACTTTCATGGTGATTGTTCGGATAAGCTCTTCATTATGGTACATAGACTTTATGAATTTAAGTGCTGTACTAGACTGACATCAAGATCTTGTCAATTTACAGATTAGCTGATGAAATGTAGCTGTAACTTTTATGCTAACAATTTCTTTTCTTGCACTTCTTGCTTGTGGAACCCATTTAAGCTTTCCAGCCAACTTTAATGTCCAAAAATTTAAATGCAATGTGAATCCATATCTACTGTCCTCCTGATTACTCTTTTCCTGCTCATTAGTAATGTTTCTGTTCCTAATTCAACCAAACCCAGTAGTCCCCTTGTGTCTTTACTGCTTTGCTTGGATTGAAATTGATATATATATATATATATATATATATTATAAATTAATTGATTTAAAATATGGTTATTTTCGCCACAGTTCCAACCATGTTTCAAAAAATAGAAGCTAAAAACCCCTAATTTTATTTTTGCAAATAATTAAAATTATTCTATTTCATCTTCAAGCGAATTTTCAAGAAAAATTCGCTTGAAGATGAAATAGAACTAATGCTAGTTGATTTAAAAAAAAAAAAAAGAAAAAAAGTTGAGTAATTACTTAAATGGAAATATAAAATGATTTTAGTTATAATTTCTTGTGCTTTTTTTGTTGATTTATTTTCATTTATGCTTTTTTTTTTTTCAGTCTTATATGCAATCATAATCGTTTTATTCCTTCTGGTGGCTCATTGCTTTAGGCTTACCAATCATTATTTTGGAGGTGTGGTTTGGCTCAACAGAGGATGGAATTAATATCCCTGTAAGAGTTTGCATTTACCTTGCAACCATGGCCTTGGGACAAACCTGAATTCGCATCTTCTTCACCAGCTAAGTGTAAAATTGTGGTGAACAGTCACGTAGAAGTAAGTGAGCCAGAGTGGCTTACATTTAGTGCAAAGGAAAATAAGTGTCTTACCTCAACGTGTGGCATGTGGCATTGGCATTTTGCTCTTTGAAAATGGCATTACTTTCCCGTCTATTTCAGCAGTATGTGCTGTAATGGGAGTTTTTTGTACAATTTGGCCTGGTTCAACCAATAGTAAGTTGTGTGCTGATTGTTCGGACTGGAGGAGGCTATTTGCTTGAATAACTGAGAACAAAAGCGAAAAATACTGATTGGTTGGTCGGCCATTTTGTTGCCCTGATAAGACGGCTGAAGCAGTGAGAAGGGAGAACGGTTTTACATTGGTGAAGTGTGTGGAATGCAAGAATGGTGGATTGAACAAGTGGTATATTGTATTGTATGAATGACGTCCGAGGAATAGAGAATCATTTAATTATAAAAATATCCTCACAATTGTAGTTCTTTAAATGTAAAAAAAATCCATATTTGATATTCCATAAGATGTCAGGAGTCACTCCTTGTTGCTGGTACCATGTAACCCAACACAACCTGTTGCATGTTTCTTGAAAAGGAGAAAGGTGCCATCTAGTGACCCTCTTTACATTGAGAAGAAATTACCCAGCATGTCATCACAATGATATACCAAGTCATAGGAAACTGACAAATGAATCCTTGTTTTATAAGATACAGGAAGAGTTTTAGACACATTTTTAAGAAATATGGTATCTTAACATAATTTTCTTTTTTCTTATCAAAGCAAGTGATAAGGATTTCTGGTGTATTGCCTTCAGAATATGTCATCTATATTATCAATTCTGAAAGGTTAAAACTTATATTCAAAAAGTTTTTTTTTCTGTTGGTAATATTTTAAAAATAATTGTTTATGCAAATTTAATACTTATACACAATTGTATTGATTTGAAATATTTTTCAGTTTTTAGTTCAGAACAGAGCTCCAAGTACGTCATTAAGTCTTTCCATCATGAAGGGAGTCACAAATGTAATGGATTTAAGAATGGCATTAGTCAAGTCTTCCTTCAAGTCTATGGACAACTTTGGCAAGTATCATTTTATATTTTTAGAAATTTATAACAGTTTGTGAAATTTTACTCAGACTGTTGGGCATTTTTATTTGGCAATTATTTGACTTTATATCTTCTGAAGAATAGTCAATTGGCTTATGTCAGGTGTGACGAAAGACATGACTTATCTCAGAATTCAAAACGAGCGTGGACATCTTGCTTGTAAAGTGACGTCAAAAAGAAATATGGTCGCTATTGAAGACACAATTTATGCGCTCCTATCTCGTCCAAAATGAGATGATATTTGCACACATGAAAATTTTGGTTGTATTGGAATAGCATAAAAAGCGGGGTGCCAGCAGCACAAGAAAACCGAAGTCATTTGGCGGACTGCGTGCAATAGAGCTGGACATACAGACAGACAAAGAGGAAGTTGAAGTATGCGCGGTTGAGTTGGTGTCTGTTTCACAACTGCCCAGCGTAACGGCTGAGAAAGGGAGCCACGCAATCCATTTCCTTGAGGCGACTGAAGAAGAAAAAACAGTTGGCTTGCTGGCGAGCACCGCACTGCACTTTTTGACCCCCCCTCCTCATCACCATTTTTTCTTTACATCAGGCTTTTGCAAAATAGGCACATTATTTTGTGGGTGAGGCAGGCTATTTATGCATTACTTAAATGATGGTAACTGTGATTTTCGAAGTTAAGAAGAGAGATGAGTATTTATGTGCAATTAAATTCTGGGGCAAGAAGAATATATAAATAGCTAAGGTATTTTGTTGATAGGTTCTTGCATATATATTCTGGGGTAAGGAGAATATATAAATAGCTAGGGTATTTTGTTGATAGGTTCTTGCATATATATTCTGGGGTAAGGAGAATATATAAATAGCTAAGGTATTTTGTTGATAGGTTCTTGCATATATATTCTGGGGTAAGGAGAATATATAAATAGCTAAGGTATTCTGTTGATAGGTTCTTGCATATATATTCTGGGGCAAAAAAAATATAAAAATAGACACAGAATTTTTTTTTAAGAGTTCATATAACCAATGTATGAATTGAACAAAAATCAGAAAATCTTTCTATAATTTGGGATTGTAGGTTTTTTTGATAATTTTATTTTAATTTTTTTTGGGTGTGGGGAGGTAGATGTTTCAGTCTGTTGGTCAGTTTTGCAGAAAGTTGTTTTTTTTTTTTTTTTTTTTTTTTTTTTAATATCTAGGAATGCTAAAATTATGCCAATCTTGCTTGATGGCTTCCCAAAATTGTTACATTTCTTAAACTTGCTTCTGACCATTTTATATTGAAGTTGGGAACATAGATTCTGTATGGGATTGAAATCTGGACTCTGGCTTTGCATTATCATCATGAAAAATAAGATTCTAGTGATTCCTTCAAAACAACAAATTTTGGATGTTTGGAAGCAGTCATTTCTGTCAAATTTTCTGGTAATCTTAACATTTAGATATTGAACCGCATTCCAAATCTGACTGATGTTGTTTTTGTTTAATTTGTACGACAATTCTTTGGAAAGGCATGAAACCATGTCTTCCAGGAATTCTGGTCAGGTATTATTCTCTTCTGCTAGTACCATGTAAGCCAGTACAATCTGTCATTCTGCTGGAGAGAATGGTGCTGCCAAATAAGTTCTATTGAAAAATGTCATATGGACCAATCTGTGTACACCAATGATCTACTTAGGTTTAGGTTAATTTGATTTTTGACTGAAATTTAAGCAAGAAAGCAGGAGAAAAATACCCATTATTTTTGTTTTTAATAATTTTTTCCCAAGCAAGGCAGAAATGCCACTAGTACGCAGGGGGTTACAGGGAGTGAAAGTGAAAGAAGACTGAGAATAGGGAGGATTGAGGAAAGGACAAAAGATGAAAGAGAATGCTACTAGTATGCAGGGGGTTACATTTAAATCTTTGAAAATTGTAGTTATCAGGGAAGCAAGTAAATAGAAGGTATTTCCACAGGTGGGAAGTGTGAGAAAAGAAACTGTTAGAGTAGAAGTGGCCGTTACATTTAGCTGTTTCAACAGTAAACAGGTGCGATCTAGATGCCAATTTAGTAGCACATTTAAATTCATGTCGTCAGGACACCAGGTATAAAAAGTTTGTCGGAGCAGTTGCCATGAAAATATTTGTAGAAAAGACAGGGAAGCTACATCATGTCTATGAGAAAGTGACTGAAGTTGAGATGCCAGGTCAGGATCAATTATATTACAGATCCTTCTTGTCAAGAACCTTGAGATGATAGCAGGAGCACCAGACCAGATATGGCAGCACTATTCAATGCACAGATTAATGGTAGATTTGTAAATGTGCAAAAATTATTAGTTAGCACCTATTAGCTTTGGCATAAGTACAATTTTTTTTTTTTCACAAAATAATGCTTTATGATTATAGAACATTTACAAATTACAACAAAAAAAACCCTAATCCTCAGAAATCATATTTCCTGCAAACCAACATTTCTGGGAATGATTTCTTCTATTATTTCTTATTTGTTTTTCTTATCTAGCAATTTCATGAAACAATTTTCTGGTAATTTATTCTTGCTTTGTTTTCAATAAGGACAAATAAATTATTTTTATTTATTTTTTTTTTTTTACTTCAGTCGCTGAAGAATCTCTGGGCAATGGAGAAGAGATACAAATGGTTGTCAAATGCATTCACTCAGTGGAAGTGTCCACAAACCGACTTGATACTTATCGGTAGGTTACATATTAGTCCTTTTGTAAAGCTTTCTAAAGTTTTTTTTTCTTTCTTACACAGAGAAACTTTTTAGTAATTACTGCAACTCATCAATTCAAAAACCTGAATGTACTTGTCACTTATTTGTGTATTACATAATTTCTGCAGGTAAAATAACTGAATACAGCCACTCCTCGACGGCCTGTCTGTATAGGCACTCCTCGACGGCCTGTCTGTATAGGCACTCCTCGACGGCCTGTCTGTATAGGCACTCCTCGACGGCCTGTCTGTATAGGCACTCCTCGACGGCCTGTCTGTATAGGCACTTCTCGACGACCTGTCTGTATAGGCATTCCTCGATAATTTATGACTGGCTATAAGATCTCATAAAATATGAAAAGAAAATACAGGCTATTGAGAATTTATAGAACGTTTGTAACTAATTTTTTTGGTATATTTTTATATTTTTTTGTTGATTGTTTTCTGTTTTCAAAATTAAATAAAATGAAAAATAAATCAAAATTACACTATTTACATTATTCAGACGATTGTCCTCAGCTTTGTCATCATATTTATTACAACGTTTCAGCCATTGTATGCTCCAGCCTTCTTCAGGTGGTTGGAATCTTAAACTGAACCCTTTATTTCGCTCACTGGGGTAGACTGTTCTAGTTCCACGTGCCATGTTTTAATGGACGTCAGTTATCTCCTGTTAATTCCCCTCTCCAAGTTATCCACTGCCTTAACTGGGTATTGAACTCACACTCTTTGGGTCCTGTCACTGGATCTAACCAACGCTTTTATCCACTGTGCCATGTGTCCTCGTTGTAATAAATATGGCGACAAAGATGAGGACAATAGTCTGAATAATGTAAATAGTGTACATAATACCTCATCTCAGAAATATAGACAAATACTGAAGGGCTGAAACGTTGTAATTAATATGGTGACAAAGATGAGGACAATAGTCTGAATAATGTAAATAGTGTACATAATACCTCTTCTCAGAAATATAGACAGATACTGAAATCAAAATTTCTTGTACTGTATTTACAGTATGCAGTCAGAAGTAAATTACTGAATTGAACTGATTTTTAAATTTGTTTATGTCAACTGTTCAGTCCATGACTGGTACTGTATAAAGAGTTAGAAATGTTACAAATGGTGTAAAAGTGACATTAAAGCTGTCTGAAGCCAACTGACACAACCCATGACACTTGTAGTGTGCTTGAAGCAGCAGCAGTCAGGTATAACTTTTCACTTAGCATCTATAGTTAGTTGGGACCTTGTTATTAATCAAGGAGTGGCGATATATCTGTTTATTTTTGTCTAGGACATTTTTTTAAAAATTGGTATGAGGCATGAGTAATTTTAGAAAATTAATTAAAAGAAATTACTTCTCTGGTTTTAGCAGTTATTCATTGGAATTCATTTTTTTTCTTTTTAATTTTCCTTATCTGTATTTACAAAGTGATAAAAATATGCTGTTTACTTGTGAGTGGTAGAGAATGAGGAATTTTGCAATGCAGCATGTCCTCTTGTTATCTAAACAGAATGACCACTAATGAAAAAGGAATTAACATTCTTTCTTTTTACATGCCATGTCCTTTCAGGATGTAGGCAATATCTATATAATATATATATATACACACACACACACACACACACACACACACAGGGTGTCCATAACTTTATTTTTATTTGTGACAAAAATAATTTGTAAAAAGGATTAGAAAGAAGGTTTTTAAGGTTTTATTGAAATTTTATTTAAGTTTCCACATTTACTCCATCATTAGCAATACAAAGGGTAATATGATTTTACTGTTCACGGAAAACATTTGCCAACTGATTTACAGTAATGCCTGAAATCACATTAGTTATTTTAGCTTTGACATCTTCTAATGAACTAGGTTTGGTTGCATACATAATTGTTTTCATATGTCCCCATAAAAAAAAATTTAATGGCGTCAAATCTGGCGAATGTGGAGGCCAATAAAATGGTCCACCCCTTGCGATCCATGTTAGCAAATTCCTAATTTAGAAAGTCTCTAACATGCAGAGCAAAGTGACAAGGAGCTCCATCTTGTTGAAACACTGTATTATAAGATTTTTTACAGATTATTTTTATTGCAGATACAAATAAAAGTTATAAATTTTAAAAGTGCACACGAACTTTATGGACACTCTGTGTGTGTGTGTGTGTGTGTGTGTGTGTATATATATATATATATATATATATATATATATATATATATATATATATATATAAAAATCTCGATATCTATAGTATAGACAACTAATATTTATCTATCCCTGAACCAAGTAACTCAAATGTAATGGAAAAGAATGACTTTGACATTAAATAATACAAGTGTTGCTGTAAAATCCTCAAACCCATATCCAGATACACATTATGTATGTGTTGATGCAGAATCTATTTCATTTGATAAATGAATTCATCCTAATTCAGCAGCAGCTGCAAATGTAACAAAGAACTTCTAATCAAAAGAGAAAGTTCAATACATGTAGATTCAAAACTAAATTTTATTTCTTTCAGTAATCATCATCATCTAATGATACTGAGATAACCTGAATCCTGGCAGATATTTTTGACTTGTTTTTTTTCCATTTCAGTTTAACAAATGGAAACAGTTCCTCCTATTGGCAGTCAGATGGTACTTGTCGGTCACACTGGATCAGGTAAGGATTTTTTTTTTATTTGGATCTTTTATATAACTCGTAAACTAATGACATTTTCATTTTAAGATATAATTTAGTTATTGCTCAGTGAATAGCCTGTGAACATATTTATTAAGATGTTCTTTGTCCACTGAAAAAAAAAAAAAAGAGACCTTTCTGAAATCCTTTCTTTGTCCACTGAAAAGAAGAGACCATGAGTTATTTGCCTAGGTTTATAGCCAGAGCAAACTTTGATGCAAAGAATACCTTTCTCGTATTTCATCACATAATGAACCTTACCCTGACCCATGGAATATTGGTGGGTAGGTTGATGGTTGAATTCTATTATCCTTCCTTTAAACTTGTTACCTTATCAAAGTTAACAAGTTTACTCTACCCTACTATTTTACTCATAGCTGAGAAGAGGAGAGATGGATTCATATATTTCCCATGGGCAATAGTGTGAAGTAAATGAAAACTGTCCCGGTCAGTGTTTGAACTTGCTTCACTGTTTCCATTTTCTGTATTAATAACTCTTATTTCATTCATACATGTTCACAAATAAACATCTCGCATGTTAATAAATAACAATTTTTTTTTTTTTTTTTATCAAAATTAGTAGAATGTTAGAATTATGTACTTTTGTGTGCCATATATAAGTGGCTGCATAATTACTACCTTCAGTTTTCCCCCACCCTCTGGCACAGCGCTGCTTATTTGATATAGTGTGCTTATTATCTTTCAAATAATTTTCCCCACCATACAATTATTTTGTTCCACCTTCATAAATTGCTTGTACAAAAATTCCTGGTGGAATGTTTATTTAAACCAGCCTGCTTATTTTAAAGGATGAAAAATTCCCACTGGAATTTCCATCATTTTAGATGACACTTGCATTTCATACCAATGAGTGCAAGTTTGAAAAATTAGTTTAAATTGTGATTTTTTTTTTTTTTTTTTTTTTTTATTTTATAATTGTATTACTATTTGAATGTATCTTTCTTTCAGATTACGGATAAAAAACAACGTGGTCATAAAACAGCTAATAATAAATGTTTCCTCTTTGGATCAAAGTTACATGCCTCAAATTGTGTCTGTATCAGTGGGGAAATCAGTGAGTACACTCAAGGAAATCAAAGAAGTCCGAATTCCAAAGTGAGTCCATTTCCTCTTCTTTAGAATTTGACAACATTTTTACCTCTTCACTAAAAGCTACAAATATTGAAATAAATGATATAGAGAAGGTAATAAAATTAAATATTTAAGAAATGATAGCATTTTGTAATGGCTGTCTTACCATTGACAATTAAAAAAAAAAAAAAGTGGAAGTGACAGAAGAAAATGGCGACATACCCCAAAGGTCAAAATGCTTTTGTGTCGTATGCTGCTTTTGCAGAAAAAAAGAAGAATGCCACATCACTGAATGATGTCTGCGAGTTCATGTAAATGAGTTTCTATTAAGCAGTCATGGTTAAAGGGTCACTGAGTGGAATGGATTGCATAGAAAAATATGCTAATCCATTTCCATGCACCCTGAATAGCAAACTGTAAAGGATCCAACACCATTGCTATAAAAACAGTTGATTTCCTGCCAAGGTGGATTTTGTGAGGAGGCTGCATGTATGTTCATGGAGATTTGAACTTTTATTATACACAAAACAACAACAAATGGAAATATGATGCAGTTAAGACAAGTAAAAGAGTTTTTATTTCCTGTGATTTACAAGGTTCGATTGTTGGCTGATTCTGGGATCTCATAGATCTAGAGTTTGCTTGGGATATTACACAGGGAAATGGTCGAGGAAGACATGTAGAAAAAATCAACATGCATATATAATTGAGTGAGATAGGTGTGTGGGAGAAATATCTCCTAGTTATCACATTGAAGTGATTGAAAGTCAGTCTCTGCATGCTGCTTTTGTTGATGGCCGAAGGCATTGCTGTTGATGGAAGCACCTTGGTGCCGATGCTGATAGCCTGATTAATCTTGCCTGCTATGGTGTTTGTTGTTAATGCCAGTCTGGTTGGATCTGCCTTCATGGCTCAGAAATAGCGTCCATAAAAACTGTGTGGGCTTTTTTTGATTGGTCAGAATAGATCTTTTATGAACTTCTAAGACAGTATTCCAGAAATGTGCTCATGGTGCCTGATGAAACTAAGGTTTGTTTTTGTCATATGAGCTGTGGATTTTGGAGTTCTGACAGGGTACAAAAATTTAAACAAATTTTATTCTAAATCCAAAAATGAAATAAACTTTTAAATACTGTAAGTCATTTGAAATCTACTGAATTTTTCAATTTTATGAAATTTTTCTCTAACTTTAAAAAAGCTAATTTAGTCTCGCACAAATGTGGGCAGGAATAATATATTGCACTAGTCTTCGAAGTGAATAAATTCTGCTGGCTGACTTGCCTTGAAACTCAGCATTAAAAACCTTGTTTTTCTTTTTACTTTTTCTATTAATCTAGTCTCGAGCACTGTACTCAGTGGGAAATAATACAATTCTTTCAATCACCATAGAAGATAATTTTAACACTAAAAAGACTTGAAAAGTTTAAATCTCAAATATCAATGTTTTTACTTAATCAGAAAACCTTTAAAAAAATTTAAAAATACAATTTAATGTTATTCTCACAAACAGAATACTCTTCCTTCTGTTAAGGATTTGTCCTACATCAAAATAACTGATATATATAAAAAGTGAACATTGAAGTCAACACTTAGAGGCAACAGGCTGTTTCATGCTAGATGCAATCATCAGGCCACGGTAGCCTGGCGATTGTGTCTACCATGAAACAGCCTGTTGTCTCTAAGTGTTGACTCCAATGTTCACTTTTTATATTTACACACGCTCTATCTCTGATATTGAGCACTTTATCCTATAAATATAGCACACCTTAAGAGTATATATATATATATATATATATATATATATATATAAAGTGAACGATTACGTCTAGCATGAAACAGCCTGTCACCTCTAAGTGTTGACTTCAATGTTCACTTTATATATATATATATATATATATATATATATATAGTCTTAAGGTGTGCTATATTTATGGGATAAAGTGCTCAATATCGGAGATAGAGCGTGTGTAAATATAAAAGTGAACATAAAAGTCAACATTTAGAGGCGACAGTCTGTTTCATGCTATATGCAATCGTCAGGCCATATATATATATATATACACACACACTAGCAGTGGTACCTGGTAGTTACTATTTTTTGAAGGTGGAAAATGGCTTTATTTAAATAATTATAAAAGCCATCAACAAGGCAATTGCTTATTTATAAAGATCATAAAAGACTACAATAAGAAAACTTATTTTTAAGAAATGGATTTTTAAAACTGAATATGTAAGTTAGTTATCTCCATTAAACAAGAATTGTTAAGTTGGGCAGGATATAAGACACATGCTGTTGGGTATGAATCTTAAGACTTTATTTGATGGGAGTTTTAATATTCATTGTTTCAAGATGACATGCACAGACTTGGTTTTATGTAGGTATTATATATAATCATGTAAAATGATTGTTTATTACAAACAAAATGTTATTAAAAACAAATCACATTAATTTTTTTAAAATCATTTCACCCCAAGCAAGGTAATAAAGCCACTAAGATGCAAAAGGTTACTAAGATGTTAGAGAATATGAAAAAAACTACTAATAAGGAAAAAGGACAATAAAAGAAGTGTAATCAAGAAGACAGAAGATAACGATTGACATTGAATTTAAATTTTTGAAAGAAACTGGAAGAGAGTTCCACAAGTAAGAAGTGCAATAGAAAAAACTGTCAGCATAGAACTTATTGGTTACATCTAATCATTTCAACTGTAAAATGATGAGATCCTGCCGCCTATCTAGTAATGCTTAAATTCCTCAAGTCTTGGTACCATTGAGGAACGTTTATCAGAACAGTTACCATGAAAATATTTATAAAAAAAGGTTCAGGGAACATATGTTACGATAACAAGAAAGGGACTGAAGCCAAGATGCCATGTCAGAACCAGTAATATTGCTGATTCTTCTTTGGATTTTAGCAAGATTCTTTAATGTATCTGGAGCACCAAAGCAGATGTGGTAGCAATATTCAAAGCAAAGATAAATGGTAGACTTATAAATATGTAAAATAAATTTTGGTGAGAAAAATTGTCTCGCACAATACAGTGAACCAACTTTCCTAGCCGCAGACTTAGCAATTGATTCAATATAATCTTTTCACTTGATGTTGGCTAAAAATGTTACTTTGTCTTCAATACTCGTCTCATTTTTGAAACAGTATAATTCTGGTTTTTTCTACTGTCTTCTGCCATCTTTCAGTTAATTTCATAATTATATCCTCCCTGAAATCTTCACCTTTTTCAGCAAAGAACTGCTCTACTTGCCTTTTACAATCTTTCAGGCAATTTAATTTTTTTTCTTCATTAATTTTGTAAAGATAAGATTAAATGGTGATCTGAAGTGCAATTTATTTAGAATTCCGCAGAAAAGAGAAAACTTCCATCGCAAACTGTAAAAGTGCCTGGTCACCAAATAAATATGTCATCTAGTGTAATCCTGATGGAAAAATATACTTTTCCTGTTAACAATTTCAGGAAATTAATTTATGCTTGACACTGATCAAAGGTAGAAAAACATTTTTGTTTACATTTTAATGTGAAAGAAAAACAAAATAGATACCATTTGTTCCTTGTCAATTTCAAATAAGTAATGTTATTATGCAAAGTAGAAAATATATTTGAGTTGAAAAATTTTTCAGTGAAATTGTTTTTTCAAGTCCTACAAATTTTTTTCTTGTCTAGACATTAATAACAGAAGAGAAATTAAAGCTGTTAAAAATGGTAATTGTAACAACAAAACTGTTAAAAATGGTAATTTTTACTGTTAAAAACAAATCCAAATAACAGGTAGAAATACATGATGGGGAAATTTTTATTTTTATTTTTTTTTTTTTTTTTTACATTAAAATTTCTCACTTGTTTCAGTAAATACATACCAAATTTGAGGGTTGTACATGAAATAGCTTGATTTTTTTATAATGATCAAATAAGCACTTTCTGATTATGTATAGTCTCAAAATAGATCAATATGTATACTTATTTGGAAGTCTAGTTACATGATCAAAGACAATTTTGGAATTGAGATTGCTGCAAAAAGTTTTGCTGTCAGTTTCATGTTTTTAGAATATCTAAATTGAAATGGAGAAGATGTCATGATGTTGATTTACATATAAAGTTTAAAGTTTCTAGCATGTACTCAGTTTTTCTTTGCTCTCCCAAACAACTTCTAAGATTTTATGACATGTTTATTTGATCAATAATCTATGGAAACATTTTAAATGTTTGATTTTTTTTTTTTTTTTTTTTTTTTTTTTCAGTCATGTGAATGGAGAGTACACACTTGTTGAAAATTTGAAATCTTATTTCCCTCGTAAGTTTCAATATCAAATGATTTCTTTCTTTTGTTTCTCTTTGTTTTGAATAAGGTTCACATTGACATTTTAAAAGTTCTCATTTGCATTTTTTTTTCTCTGCACCACAGCATTGTTTTTCATCTTTTTAAAACCAAAGAGTTGCAAACTAAGAATTTATATATCATTTTAAATATCTGGAAAGTGTTTTAACAGAAGATAGAAAGTGTGATACTAATATCTGAAGGTGCATTGAGATAGCAAAATATGCTTTCCAAAAGCTAAGCAAAATATTAAAAAACAGGAAAATTTTGCTAGAAACAATGAAAAGAGTACTGAACTGTTATGTAATATCAGTCATATGGCAGTGAATGCTGGAAAATCTCACAAATGATGAAGAAACTTGAAGCACCAGAAATGTGGTTTTACAGAAGGATGCTGTGAATACCATGGACTGAACATGTGGGTAATGATGAAGTTTTAGAGAAAATTGAAACAAAAATGGCACTTAACATCAGAAAGAAACAGTTGAAATTTCTAGTGCACATAATGAGGAAAGAGGGCTTAGGAAATTTGACACTCACAAGACTTATTGAAAGTAAAAGGGACAGAGGAAAACAATGCACAACCTACCTAACAAGCTTGTGTAAATGTGTGGCAGAACAGGGTTTAGGAGAGATAGCAAAAAGACAAACTTTACTAAGATCTACAAAGGAGAGGAAATTGTGGAGAGCCATGATTGCCAACATTGTGAATGGATATGGCACATAGAAAGAAGGAACTAGATGGAAGTAACTGTACGAAATTTTCTGGCAGAGAAGAAACAGTTCAATGTATAGCTGGCCACTCATATTCAAAGATACCCGTCTACTAGGGCGACTAGCCAATCCCTCTTGCAGACCACTGCTCAGGTGCATTTGTGTTTATTCAACACCCACAGAACCAGCCTGTGGTTTATACTGCAACAATGCTGAGCAGACTGTAGTTACAGTTTTTGGGAAAGTGCGGGTTATCTAGCATGATCAACAATTTGAACAAGGCCAGCATGCTCAAACCCTCGGCTATGATGACTTGTGACTTTGTGCTAGCATAACTATTGACGGCACACAAGGGTTCTGCCTACCCAATTTCACTCACAAGGATTGGGTCAACCCGTAGTATGGTTTTTAGGTACTTTTCAAAGGTGCTGCACAATGGGATCATCCCCTCCAGTCTGATAACATCAGGAAGTCTCCTTCCTGACAAATTGACCATGGTAAGATTTGAACCCAGGTCTCATGGTCAGAATGTAAACATTCTAACCACTCGGCCATGTGCCCATTGTTCAACAGTTCAATATTATTATGTAAAAAAATTTTAAACTTTGCTCTCATTTTGGTTGTCAAACTTATAACATTTCGGCTGGCCTTCTTCAGTTGCTAGCTTTTTAGTTAGCAACATCTTGAGAATTTTGAACTGAATCTTTTTAATCAAACTATGGGTGAGATTGTTCTCATTCTACTAGCCATACTACAGGAAATCTATTAGTTCATTTTTTTTAGTTACTGTTACCATATTTTTCAGCTTACAAGATACTGCGGCTTGGATGACACACCCTAATATTGGAAAGAAATTTCTAAGAAAACAAAAAGTAATTCTCATACAACACATTCACCATACGTCCCTCACATACTGGTGCCACGTATTGTTTACATTAATCACTCGTCCGATTTTGTTTGTATGGCAATGAAATACTAGTCAAGAGCAGAAAGGCTCCTGCCACTGCTAGTAAACAGAGCATGTTTATGATTGTGGCTCGGCTCCAGGAAGGTTTATAGTCTTGGAAATACTTTTAACAGCTAAGTACTGAGCTTAAATCATATAAAAGGTTGAATTAAGATAGCTAATATTATAGTGTAATGACTCAACATACAAATCCACATCCCTATCAGTCATGCCAATTAGGTGAGCGTCCAAGCTTACTTGAGACTGGGTGTTGCCTTACATTCATCTTGGAAGACACTCACATATTTTTTAGGAAAAAAAGTTAATCTTTAAGCTGAAAAATATGGTAATTATTTCTTGTGATGTTACTTGTCTATTCCATTTAACCAAATTTATGACTTGTCACACTACCTGAGCCAGGGGTTGAACTTATAACTGTCAGATAACTAGATTCACTTGATCAGCACATTTATTCTAGAGGTGCTGTGATCAGTATTATATTTAATGATGTAATCATTCATAAACCTGGGGTTTATGGCCATATCATATTAGTCCTGGGTATGATGATAAAGTACATCTGGCAGCAAGGCCCCTGATCAGGAGATTGGACGTTTTGGGGAGTGTGGAACCACCTCTTAATTGCTGATTTGGGGTGGTAGCACCTGTTAGGGTCCCAGCTATAGGCAAATAGTGAACCCCCAAACAAAAACAAAACACGATGAAAGTATAAAAATACATTTTTATACTAAAAATACTAGCAATACATTTTTATATAAAAAAATTACCAACGATACATATTTATAGTAAAATTACCAACAAAACATTTTTAAAGCAGAATTACCAACAATACATTTTATAGCAAGATGACCAACAATACATTTTATAGCAAGATGACCAACAATACATTTTATAGCAAGATGACCAACAATACATTTTATAGCAAGATGACCAACAATACATTTTATAGCAAGATGACCAACAATACATTTTGTCTGTAGTGTCCAAAATATTTAAATTTCGGCATTTAATAACCCATAGAGTTTGACCTGCTGCTAACCAACAACCCATATACTGAAACATTGATTCGCATACGATCACAGAAGTTAAGCAATGTTGAACCTGGTCAGTACCTAGAAGGGTTACCACTTGGAAATACTAGGTGTTGTAAGCTTGGATGTCTGTGTTGAGTAATGGGTAACGGCTTGGAATTGGAAATCTGAGAGTAGAGGTCCAATTCCAGTCAGGTTCGTTATATTCACTTATGCACAAATACTCTTTGGAAAGGCATGAATCCACCATTTTTCTAACCCACTCCCCACCAACTCTAGGTTAATTAGTAAGACTTATATTACTAAATCATTACCTCAAAAAATATATTCTTGAAATC